ATCTGACCTTCTCTTATTTATTAAGTTAGTGTGAAGCCCCTCACCGCTCAGTCTTGTCTTCCACTTTCTCTCTTTAAACCCCTCCCTATCTGCCTGTATGTGTGTCTCATCTTCTTTCTTTTTTTTCTTTCACTTTTCTCTCCAAGTCTGAGCTGCACTCATAATCTCCTCATTGAACAATCCCTACATTTCATTCTTGTATGTACTTCCAGATAGGTTATAGGCCTCCCATCTAAGGAGCAACTAAGGATGCTTTTTGCTCATATGAATCTCAAAATGAAGTTAAGAATGATTCATGTTCCCCTTTCCTAGAAAATGTACAAGATCTCCTTACTCTCTCCTCCCTTCATCTCACTTCTCCACTAATAACATTTTCCTCACTATCTCCCTCTATCTCCCAAGCTCTGTAATCTGATTGTTCTTTCTATGATTGTGCTGTTATTGAGTTGCCTGTTATCATACATATGTATAAGTCCACCACAATACTTATTCTATCCCCCTCTATGATTTCTTCCAGCATCCTACCAGACAGGAATCTCATTTCTGAATGGAGGAAACATTAATGCCATGTTGACATGCGTAAAGCTTTGCAGTAGACCTTTGCAGGCTGGAAGCACTTTATTGACACAACAGGGGAACTTTTAACATCCCCTCAAGTCAAGTTTCTACTGACATTTACTTTTAAGTCATTTATTTTCGGCTGAATGGGTTGAAAAGCGAATTCAACCTGGTTTCCTGCGTTATGAGAAAAACATTTCAAAAGGTGTTTTCCTCGGCATGACTGGTTCACATTTAATGAATAGTAGACAGTGGAACGGTAGAGCCTTGTGGTGTGTAACTTCAGTGGTTTGTAAAGTGCTTTGTATAAAACAGATTTTCACCAGCAATTTCATACTCTCATGGCTGATTTTACCACATCGTATTCAGAGTCTGATTTTTAGCCATGTTAACTGTGTGGCTCGATAGGGAGGGAAATGTCAGTTGGTTGGTTGGTTCACCACTTTGATCCAAGCCGAAATACCTCAGCGATAGATTGCATGAAATTTTGTACAGTCACTTGTTGTCTCCAGGGGATGAATCGTAATGACTTTGGTGATCCCCTGATTTCTTCCCCAGCGCCACCAGCAGGTCAAATTTTTCACTCATCCTGTTAAATATCTTAGCATCTTCCCTATCCGCTAACTATTCTGTGCAGAAATAGATGTTTCCCAGACAATGATGGTGATCCCCTGACTTTTCTTCCTGCGGTACCGTGAGGTTGACATTTGTGGTTTTGAGTAAAATGTCTCTCAACAATTATTGGGATGGATCGCCCTGATGCCGATGTCAGCATTTACCGCAAAACACAGCTGTGCCTGACTATAACCTCACAGTACAGTTTCTAGCATGGCTGCAGACTCTGAGTCTTGTAAATGACTCGAGTCAGCAATTTCATGGCATGGACTGCAAGCAACATACAATAACGACAAGATAATGGCACACTGCAGGAATGACATGGAACAAAAACGACTGAATCCAATGTAAAAGGTGTTTCAAGAAGGCACCCAATTTATAGATAACTTTTGGTTCATGCCACTGTGATAACAAAAATTGGGTGCTTTATTTTACCCTTATTTTTAATTATCCTTGCATTCTTAAAATGTGATACTCATCTCCCAGACAGCTGTCAGTGCAAAGGTTAGAGAGCTCTGACTGCCATCCAATCCCTCTGTATTTACCAGTAAGGATTCGGGTGTTGCTGATTCTGAAGTCTGCAGCCTTGCAGCCTCTGTAATCTGTGTTTCAAAGTGATAAATACTCTGTTGATACTTTAACTGGTTAAACTGAACCACCTACACCACAATTATTCCCTCACAGTCGTGGCGTTTTGGGAGTTTGAGTCCAGGGCTTATAGACACAGCATACAGTATCTTTTTAGTCTCTTACACTAAAGTCACCGATGTATGCCCGTATGGGACTAAAATATGCTTTGGTTAATACCATTGACCAAAAGACATAATGTCTTTTACTGTTATTCTTGAACTTATGATCATGGTAGTATTGAAATTTTAATTTGAGGCTGACTGATGAATTGCAATTGCCACATTTTAGTGTGTAAGTTCCTTTCAACTGTAAACCTACAAGCTTCTGTAATTGAGTTACTCACTGTGTGAATGTATTGAGTCTACTATGTTTGTTTGTGTGCATGCTCCAGTGTGTATTTCATTACCTCTCCGTTGCCCCGACAACATCCCCCTGGCTATTCCAGCAAAACTTACCTCTCACTCATTGTAACCTACCTGAATAGAGGCTGAGGAGGAAGAAAAGGGTGAAGCTGTATTTTTCAAACCGTCAATCTGTCGCTGGTTGCAGCAGCCTGATATGACCTTATAGCGAACATCCGCTGTTTTGCAAAAAGTCTATAGCTTATGGATTTCATGTCAAGAGAAAATATCTGATATTTCTTCTAACAAATCCTCACCCTTTAAATGGATTTACTGTCAAGCAGAAAAAATTTCATATTTATGCTAATAGAAAGTCCATCTATTTATTGGTTTCTGTTGGCATTTTATTACTTTCGCACTACAGAAGAAGAAGCCCTCTCTCCACACTCATCTTTTTCCACTCAATCAATGGTTTTTAAAGTTGCTGACTGTGTACAGTTGCCCCCCCCCCCTTCGAAAAGACTCGTGTCGACCTCAGACCCCAACACAAAATCATTTTTGAGCTTCATACAGTTGACCCTGAAGGTTAGATTGAGGTTCATGGCGTGATGTTGCTGCTGAAGATGGTTAAGGATTATGATGATGGTGCTAGTTCGAGCTCCGTGCCATCAGCTTGAGAAGTGATTAGGACTGCACCAGCAGAGTGTTAGCCTGACAGATGGCAACACATGGAGCTAGCTGACAGCACTGCTGACAGCGCATTCACAGGAAGTCCCCATCTTGCATGCACTGTGCACTCTGTTTGTTGCTGTACGTATTCTCATGTTTTTCTGTGGCTTATTCCTACCTGTCAAAGTCAGCTCGCATCACCAATTCTTGGGCTCAAAATTGCAAGACCACTGCATAGGCCTTCTGTCACCAAAACAAAGGGAGTCATTGTCTGTTAAAAATCTTCATTGGTCATTATTCTAGTCGTTAGTCATTTATCAACACCTTCTGTGCTTTTTTTGGTAATTTATTCCTCCAGTGGTCAATAAATTTTAAGTTATTTTCTCCTCAATCAATCTACTTAGAAATCAGCTCTACGGGCATGTTAATGAATGGCCAACAGAAATAGGTACATTAATTGAATGACTAGGAGCTGTATTGAGTGCACTGTTGCCTCTGCGAATAGCAATGTGGAGTTGTTATTAGGTTCAGTGATTGATGAAAGATGAGGAGAGCTTTGGCACAAACCTGTCCGTTCCACTGCCCTGGATAGGAATGAAAGGAGACAGAAACTGTCCTTGTATGAGTAGACACAAAAATCTGATCCTGTTCTTGTTTTGAAATGCTTTTCATTTAGGTTTTATTTTTTTATTTATTTATTTTTTTTGGCTTGTTTATCCACTTGGAGAATAGTTTTAAACTCCATCCAAAAGCATCCTCAGGGGAAGCACATGTAACCCCTGCGAATGGTTGTAATACTTCTTCCTGTCACTTCATGACAGTTTCAAGCTTGAAGTCTGCATGTGCGGATGTGTCTGTGCACTTGAGTGTGTGTCTGTTTTAAAGTGTGTGTGCACATATATGCATATGGATGGAAGCATGGCTGTGATGTGATTGATGAGACATGAAAGAGAGGAGAGGAAGATTTCCAGTCAATCAGCCCTGTGAATAACCACCTAGGCTGTGGATTAAAGGCAGAAAGCTGTCTGAACAAACAAAGGCTTGCATCCATTACCTTACATGCAGAGTTGTTTTTCTCTCCAAAGCAACAGTGACAACAAAATTAAAGTGTGTTAATAAAAATAGATGGTTTTGTTTTCCTGAATTCAAGAGATGAAACATGGCAACATCTAACAACTTGGATGCTCGCGGAAATAAAAATCATGTGAGGTAAAAAAGATCTCTGCAGAAGAGTGACCTATACAGCATTTAAAATTATAACAACGTGTGTGAAATTAAATGGGACATAATGGAATTTTCTCTGCATATTAGGTTTTGTCCCGACTGTTGCAGTATTGGATTGGACTTGGAGCTTATTTTAATGTTATAAATGTTGGATTTTACATGTTGTGGCTAACTGTCTTGACAAAGTATAGAAGTCATGTTTGTGCAGAAAGGCAGAATTAAAACATACAGTGCAATTTAACGTAACATGCAAGATTAATAAAAAACGTGCACTGTTTGCCCAGCTTTACATTGTGTTTTGCCCCCAGGAAAAATGTATTGAGTTAAGATTAGATGTAACTGTAGAAGACAACAAGTCCTCTGGATGAAGCCCTCCAGAATGATGCCCCATTCAGACAGGATAACATCATTTGTCAGTGCCTTCCAAAACTGTTACAAATCACTGTAACAATAAATCCATTTTATGATTTTACAATGCTATGGATAAGGTTTGGTTAGGTTTCAGCACAAAAACAACATGGTTACAGAAAGGCAAAGATCACGATTTGGGTGAAAATGACCATATTGGCAAGGTTAGGGATCCTGTGTTGTCATTATTACAATAATGGTTATGGTCAGTGGATGATTAAAGTTCTGCCGTTGTCTCAAAGTTAAAACAAACCAACATTAACTGTGAGTAGGAGATGGAAAACAAACATGGGGTTTCCCTTGGCAAAGTTTAAAGTTTTGTTGACCTATCTATCCACCCTGACCCTCCTCCATACAAGGACATTTTTTACTCTATAACAATATCATACTGTTTCCTCATTTGCTTCTGATGGACACGTGAATTCATCACTTACACCTGATTTTATGTGGGGTTTTTTGGCATTTACCGAAATGATGATGCTGACAAATTTAATAGCCTTTGGCATGTTGTCAATTAAGTTTCCCTCTTCCTCTTCCTGTTTCTCTCTTCCTCAGGTCCAAGGGTTGGAGAAGCAGGTGGACTTCTCAGACCTTGGCCCAGTGGGGTCGGTGATGAAGACTCTTCCATATGGCATGGGGCATGGAGGTACAGTTGGAGGAACGACAGGAGGAGTAGTTAAGCCTCCGTACCAAACCCGTATCTTCTCCACCTCCATCGACCAGACACCCATGAAATCCAAGCCACCCACTTACAGTTTCTTTAACCCGTACGACTCGAGCCGGAACCAGTCCCTGCTTCTGGACCAGACAGGCTACCGCTCTAAGCGCAAGCCCTCACTAAAGACAGCCATGAAGACCAAGAAGATCTTCGGCTGGGGAGACTTCTACTTCAACGTTAAGACCATGAAGTTCAGCTTGTTGGTGACGGGGAAGATCGTGGACCACATCAATGGTACGTTCACTGTTTACTTCCGCCACAACTCGTCCAGCCTGGGGAATGTTTCGGTCAGTATCGTGCCACCGACCAAAGTGGTGGAGTTTGAGGTCCTCCAGCAGCAGCAACTGCACCCCCACACCCAGCAGGACGTCCAGATCCAGGAGACCCAGCAGTCCACCATCGACCCCAAAGAGTCAAAGACATTTAACTGTCGAGTGGAGTATGAGAAAACCAACAGATCCAAGAAGCCCAAACCCTGCCTGTACGATCCGTCTCAGACCTGCTTCACGGAGCACACCCAGTCCCACGCTGCCTGGCTCTGTGCCAAACCCTTCAAGGTGATCTGCATTTTCATCTCTTTCTTTAGCATCGATTACAAGCTGGTTCAAAAAGTGTGTCCGGACTACAACTTCCAAAGTGAGCACCCTTACTTTGGGTAAATAAGTGAGACTGAACCGAGAAGAGAATAAAGAGACAATGTTAATGACAATGATGATGATAATAATGATATTGATGGAAGTCATAGTCATATTGATTACGGTGAAGATGCAGGGGACAGTTTTTTTTGCCTCTAAACTGCTGTGAATTGTGGATTTAAATCAAGTATAATCAGAGTTATGGATGGTTAGGATATGGCTGATTTCTCTGACTTATTTTCCAACTTTGTATTTGTTTTGTTTGTTTTTTTCTGTAAATAATGTACTCAACCTCAGCACACTTATTGTTTTTAGATATTTGTTTCTCAGTGTTATTACTTTTTGCAGTTGGAGAATTCGGTTGAAGACAGCTGGAATCAGTATTATGCCCTCTGAGTACAAAGTGAACCTCTGAGGCAGCTGTGCTGTGCCATCAATGTATGGCATATGTAATGTTATGGTAGACTGACTGTTAATCATCCTCTCAGCTCTACGTTTCAAACCCTGGATATAAGAGAGTTATATGTATGAGAAATGCTATGCTGGATATGCATACAATATACTGTATGAAAAAGCACATTAAAATCTCTTAAACTGTCTGTCTGTCTTTTACTGGGTGACTGTGTTCGTTCAGAGCTAGGAGCACAATTGCAAGGCACAAGCTGTGCAGCATATTCACATTATCTAACTCAGCAAGGACACTATTATGAATTAAGTTACATTTCACTCTGATTAGGAATGGATGCCCAAGCTTTCTGTGAAGATATGTAATTTTAATTTTCTGAAATATTGAAGGAAAGTTGGGTATGTATTGAATTTCAACATGAAAAACTAACTGTGAAACATTCTTATGATGATGATAATGTTTGACGCTTTTTGAGGGAGTTGGTATGTACAGTAATAGAATCCTAAGGAGGTATCTGATATGATTTTAATTACATATACCCTGAAACTGAAAAGAAAAATAACTCTTGTATTAGAAGTAATGTGACTGACAGATTTCTGTTTGTGTGATCATGCAAGCAAAGGAAGTATTGCACACCTGAGCAAACATTTTTTCAGCTGCACCTAAACCTCCAAGAGGCTTCCTCACATTTTATTGACTGCTGTATCACTGCTGCCACTGTTATAATCTCAGCCACGTAATAATATTTACTTTATTTTAGCTTTCTTCATACTAAAAATATGAGCTTATGGACGGATAATGCAGGATAGTGACACCATTGCTAAAAAAATATTCAGCTAGTATTTAATCAGTTCAATTAACTCACCAATCTTCTCTTTGATTGAATTAAACAAACACACCTCGAATCGCCCACCTCAGCTTCAGACTATCTCAGACTAACTCTTTTTCTTCCTTGATCACAGACTCCCTTTTTCCTCTTCCAGCACAGAGTCTTTGGCTCTTTGCTCTGCCCACTTTTTCTAAAGATAACGGTGCTCAGAATTTCATTAGATAATACACAGTCAATGCTGACTGAATCTTCATCTCACTCTGGCTCAATACCCTATTATGCTCTTGATCAATGACATTCAGATGAAGGTCCAGGGATGTCCATGTATCTTACACAAGTTGCTGTGGAAAGTCGCGCCACGGAGATTGATGGAGTTGCTGCAACCCAGATTCACTGGAGTTCCCCTCTTTGTTACACAGATGCTCTACAGCTGTTCGGTGAAGAATCACCAGACAAGTTTTTGTGGATCCTTTGTGCGTGACCCTAAATGTGATTGCATGTTTGTTTATGTGTGTGTGATTATGATTATCTGTCTGTGCCTGTTTGTCCAGGTATGTTTCCCAGAATTTCAACAAAAACATCTAATAAACTAAGAAATAAACTACACAGAGACAATGCTCATATTAAAGATTGTATATTACATGGCAATATAGGATCACTTGACGCATTGATCAGGTGCTACCAAGCGACAAACTCCAGGGCTAAAATGAAGCCATGGAAGTGCTATAGACTGCAGTTCTTCGAATGGCCACTTTACCCAAAGAGTCCCATGTTAAAATTCCCAACTTTACAGCAGAAATAAACATGTTTACAGCTTGGTAAAAAAAACAGCGTTGGTCTCTAGAGCTAATTCCTCCTTTGTGTCAACTGTACTGGGTTGAATTTGTATACAACAAACCCCTTTAAATTTTATTAAGGCATAAAGTTATGCATAATTGAGATCATGCCGCTTTGAGTGGCAGGCAGGAGAGCGTATGCTTGCCACAAACCAGCATTCACCTAAGTCTTGGCTCCACACACACCCCCCCTCTTTGCCCATTTTTGGATTGGCCAGGACTTAGGTGGAGTTGGGCACTGGCGATGATGGAGCGGCCCACTCTGAACTTTAAAACCGTTCTTCAGAAACCTATGGGTGACGTCACGAAGGCTACGTCCATCTTTATTTACAGTCTATTCGCATTGCAAATATCTATTTAACATTCAAAGTCCCCAAACAAATCACCAGGAGCTGACAGTGACACTTAACCTTCTTACTAAATCTGTTCAAATTGACTACTAAGCAAAGTACTCACTAACTTTCCTCCTCAAGATTTCCCTGCAAGGCTATTAGAGTGCAGTTTTATGTGTCCATGAACAATTTATTATTTGTTTGTACTAAACACACAGTATATCATCCATGACAAACAATTGCTCCTCTATTTTTATTTATTTTTTTAACATTATTTGTATAGGGACAAATATATAGAATGAACCAATAACACAAACCACAGCGTTTATAGTCTAGGCTAATTTGCTATACCTGTACCTACATGGGCTTTTAAAATACATACAGAGCAGCACAAAACACAAACAAACAATGATACAATAAAAATACCATAATACAACAAGCACTAGATCATTCATGACGACATGACTGATCCGTCTTTAAAAACTGTTTCAATCAGAGATTAAAATGATCCCAGTCATGATCCAGTTTGACTTCTGGGGGCAAAGAGTTCCTCATGTAAAAGAAACAGAAAAAAAGCTGTCTGTCCGAATGAGGATTTATGAAAGGACACTTTACAATCACCGGTGCACACACCTCATGTTGCTGAGACAGCTGAGAGGAACCACGTGGTAACTTTGCTTTTGGAGCCTGATTATTAAGGCATTTATAGATGAGTTTAAAAAAAAATATATATATATATATATCTATATATATATAGATATATATATATTTATTAAGTCTTTAGAACAGACAGAGAACACTGAACACACGTGACAGAAATGGCAGATATGAGCAAATCACATATACCAAATGAGATAAGAAAAAGAAGACGAGAAGAGAAGAGAGAGAGAGAGAGAGAAAAAAAGCATGGGGCAGCATGGGACCTTACATGGACAATTCTTGGATTGTTCACAGTTTAGAAATTTCACATGAATCAGGGAATACACAGCTAGGGCAATGAAACAAAATCAATGAAACAGTCTACATTGCAACATCCTCTGCGTACTAAGTCTGTTGTACAGGTTTAGGAAAGGCACCCACAACTTATCAAAAGACCTCTCATTCCCCTTTAAAACTGAACTCAAACGCTCTAGTGACAGAACTTTAAAGATTTCTCCATACCACTGGTTAACAGTTGGAGGTCTGGATTTAATCCATTGAAATAGAATGCATGTCCTAGATAGATCAGTTTAACATTAGTAAATTAAATAAAATTTGGCATATTTTTGCTTTATTAAAGTTGAGAGGTATGGTCTGTATTCACAACACCCACTGTAAACTCGCTGATCATTTTGAAAATGGAGATGTTGGATGATTTCAGAAACTAATAATAATAATGGATCACTGAAAGCTGCAGTCTCTCACTGTAGTCTGTAAGAAGATGAGTGAGTAAATGAATAACTGAGGCAGTAGTAATGGATATTGTATGTACACTCCTGGCTTGTGTAATTTCCTCTCAACTGCCTACGATTCCCATCAATCCTTTCGGCAGGATAAGCGTAACCAGCCGTTGCCAACAACTTCAAACAGCGCTCTCAGACCTCGTCAGCTGTGTGTCTCTCTTGTCTGTGCTGCTCCTTCTTCTGGCCTGAGAACTGGAAACATGCTGTCCTTCGCTCTGAGACAACTCACACGGGTAGGTATATCATTAGGTACAATTTTGAGTCATTGTTTTCTTCACGGTCTTTTTCAGTTGGGTAATTTAGGTGACGTTTCTCTGCAGTTGAACTGTTAGCTAGCTTAACGTTAATGTTGGTCAGTAGCCTCTACTACAGTCGTGGGGGTGAAGTTGCCCACTTGTGCTTAAGCAAGCTGTGCAGTTGTCACTAAATAGAAGACAATTTGCAGCAGTTCGTCGCTAGCTGTGTTTTCTGTCCTGTCAATCTGTGAAACATTGACAGTAGTTGTTAGCTAGCCGATAAGCTAGCAGGCTAGGTGTCAGCACACGTTACACAGCTGCAGCTGTGTCCACGCAATGATGCAACCGCGACTGCTCAGTTTCATCATGTGGGGAAATAGCAAGAAGCAACACACATGATTTACGTTTTTCTGCATCACGAAACACTTTCAATGTAGCTATCGGTCTCAGATTGTTTAAGTAGTAATAAAACAGCATTGCATCTCTAAAATCGCAGTTTAAGTAATGTTACAGTTACTCAACTGTACACACGCTGCTTTTGAACAGGGGTTTCATTTCACACTCAGTCTTGATCCTATGTAGATAATGGAGGAGAAGGTTAATAGACAATGATATATTAACTGGAAATGACTAGTCCTGCCCCCAATAACGTCCAAAGTGCGAAACGAGGCATAAATGAGCACCAAGCAAATATTAACTCCCAACTTTCAGATAATTATGTAACAGATAAGGCTGTATTTTTGCCAGACTTTGGAAGTAATAGCTCATGTTTTTGCAGTGTCAGCAGCTCCTTGACTGCTGAAGTATTTATTACTGTGGGTTAGCTGCAGGATAATGTAATCTTAATTTTTTATTAAGATAAGAGATATTACATATTCCACATACCTTTTACTCTCAGCTGTCAGTTTATTAGCTACAAAACTAATGCTGAAACTGTCATATTAAGTCTACTCTTTCTTTTAAAGGGGTGGGCAAAATATTTGAAACACCTTTCAGTATAGCATGTAACAATTCAATAGTAAATGCAATTACATTATGATAAAGACCACCTCAGACTACAGCCTCAAATAATACCTTACAATTCAATTGATACTTGTGCCATGGTGTCAGTAATATTTTAAGCTTTACAAAGTTGTAATTTAATTTCAGGATATAATTACTGTACATTGCATGGGATCTGTTATAATAAATGTTTGAATGTTTTTGAAATTACTGTGTCTCTGTGACAGTGATTGTAAGACACATTTATTTTGAATGACTGAATAGTTGCCCAATTATTTCAGTTCAGTTTCATAGTCCAAAGTTTCATAATTAGTCAGCGTTTTTATTAAACAAGTTGTTCGATTAGTGGAGACATCAGGATGATGGAGGTGTTTGGAGGGGGTGTTGAGAGCTATTAATAGCCTGATTTTGAACATAATTAAGTGACCCATTTTTGAGATGGTGTGAATTTTGTGCCGTTTCTCTGAAACAACTAGGCTATGCTAAGTGTGTGCCAAAAATCTTGTGGCATGTATTCAGACCTAGTTTCATAAGTCACTGTCAGTGTGTTTGAAGTTTCCCATTAAACTGAGTGGTTCACATGCTTGCATGCTTTTCCTATTGATGCTAATTGGTTAACTGTGCATCTTCATTGAATTTCTGAAGGACTCACAAGACTGTCATCTTTTGAGTCAAGACATGTGGTGTCCTCATATGTTCTGTGTATGTGAAAGAACAATTTCAGTCCCTGTGCATTTCTTGTTGCTGTTGACCTCAATTTCTTTAGAGGACAGTTTTAGGATTGGTCCATCAAGATGGCTTGCTATCAGGAAAACTCAGCTTTTGTGACTTCTGTTCAGCCGTTCATCTGTTGCTGTTGATATTAATATCTGTGGAAAACAGATTGCATTGGTCATTATGGAGATGTTTGCAATAAAATGGGTCAGTTCCTGCAGGTATTAGATTCCTAAGATTCCAGTTAAGTCAATTTAAGAATTCAGAGTCATTTCTAATCCCATTATGAAAACCTTTCTCCCAGTGCAAAGGGCAATGAACCAAGGCTGCTTTTCAGCTGTTATTTCACAGTACATTGTTTTTCAGTTATGAATGAGAACATTTATTTCTCAATAATTCCTCTACTTTTCTGTAAGCTATTTTTTATCAGGCCCTGTTTTATGGGAAGAACTTAGTTCTGGTGCAGATTATGTTTGAATTGCATGGATGTTTATTGCTCCTGTAGAGTCCAATAGATAAGGATAACTTCTCTCCAAATACAGGTCTTTTGGAGGTGTTTAGTCTTAGATTCAATGTATAACACACCCCTTTGAACATTTGAAGAACCCCTGAATTCATAAAGGCATATTTAAATTGTAATACAACAGTGCAGCAAACTGAGTGTGGCTATCACAGAATGTAGCGTTTGTAATTTCACATTTTTTAGCAGATTTTATATTTGACAGTTGAGTGAAACATCTGGGGAATAAAGGAATGGGGAACGGGCTAAGATTCAGTCCAGCAGCATGAAAACATTGGAGAGCATATGGCCCACTGCTATTTCCACAGACTGCAGTACATCTGTACATCCATCACAAACTTTTTTTTTTTCTTTTTTTTTAAACCACTTGTGTTTAGGAGAACTGGAGGGCAGAGGTCATACAGAAAACTGAAGTAGTGTTCAAACATCCTTACATTGAAGTTCTTACTGTTCTGAACACTTAAAAATGTTGAATTGTCAGTTCCAAGTCCTTTTCATTGTAAGCATGTAGAAAAGCTACAACATTGAGAGATGAGGTTCCCCTGCTTTAACCTGTTTCTTAGCCTTCTGCTTCTACTTAATGAGTATCACTGGTATTGCCTGTCAAGTCTTGGCCTGTCACAACTGGACAAGGTGGAAAGTCAACATGCCAGTGATCTAACTAGGAAACTGGCAAAAATTTACACTGAGAGAAACTTATTAGCCTATTGAGACAGTTATTGTATGCTTTTTACCACGTATCAATGCTGGACAAAAAGTTTGGTTTTAAATGTGGAAAGTGCATTTTGTTTCCCGAAATTTCCCCTCACAAAGAGAGAAACTGATTTATGTTTTTTATCTATGTTGCCAACATCAACCAACAGAGTGGCATTGGCACGTTCAATATCACCCAGAGATAAGTTTTCATTTTGTTTTTATGTACCTCTTTAGCTGGTTTAGATGACACCCTGAAGACAGCCTGTCTGGCTTCATCACCTCCCACACCAAAACCACAAAAGACTTAATTTAATGCTTAAAGACCCCAACTTTTGACATAGACTAACCTAACAATGTCCCAGCAGAGGAATTCTTTAGCTTTTTAAGTTCAGTTTTATTCATTTAACAGGAGCAGAACAGACAGCTTTGTCAGCGCTGATTCATGGCTTCATTTTTTTTCTCAGGAGTGAAGTTTATAAGTTGCTTGGAGCTACCCTGACTCGGTGAAACATGGCAGCCACTATCTTTAAAATTTCAAGTGTTCCCCATGTCAAGACAAGCCTGAACGCACATCAAACAAACAATCAAACAAACATCTGCCATTGTCTTGGGACACCTCACACTACTAGTGCATGTACCTTGTGGATGTTCCAAGCCTTTTAACCGCATTTAACAAATTATCATTTTACTTAAATAAATGCCAAACACATGCAGGTTCCAGGTTTGCAAATGTGAGGATGTATTGTTAATCTTTGTTTTATGTCGCTATAAATTGAATATTTATTGTTTGGAATGTGACATTGGGCTATGGAGAATCATGCAGGGCGTTTTTCAGTAGTTTCTGGCATTTTAGAAAAATTATTACTTGAATAATGAAGAAAATTATTTATTATTAATAATAAAATAATTTAATTGAAGAAATCAACCATCAGCTGCAGGCCTGTCCATCTTTGTCTGAGTTAAAGTGGATTGAAAACCAACATAAACTGATTTTCTGTCCTTTTACTGGTGATAATTGAATAATATAATTAATAACCTAGATATATTGATTTTCGTTCTCACAAATAGACACTTAATAAAATAGCTTAACTGTATTTAGGCTCAAATGTGCCTTTATGTGACCCTAGCAAGGTATTACACTGAAGTAAAATCCAGTTATGTATTTCTGCTTTTCATTTAACAGACTGTGCACTTGACAGGGACAGCGAGTGGGTTGTGGGCCCATGCGCAAAAAAGGCCCTGAGCCAGGCTTTACCTCGACAGTGTGACAAGTACAATCCAGAGCATGCATCGAGACTTACTGAGGCATCAGGAAGCCCAGTGTAGAGCTCTTTCACCATCTTCTTCTTCACCACACGAGTGTTGTGGAAAAATTATAGCATAAATGTATCGTTCCACTGCCTACATCTCTTGAAGATTGGCTCTGTTGCTGGCATCGCTTAAGTCTCTGATTGTCACCCTGACAACCCTTTGACCCGAATAGAGTGGAGTCGCTTTGGACTCTGCCTCCTTCCCTTCACGCCTCTTCACCCTATCCAGATTTCTCAGTCTAGTGTCATCCAGACTGAATCACAGGGCAATTTGTAACGGACAGCCCTGCCATTAGTCAGCGACAGGGAAAGAGCCAACTTCGTGTCAGACTGACGGATGCTGTTGCCCTGTTGACACTTCTTCTCTTCTACCTTACATATATTTTTTTTTCTTCACTGTGTCTCCTCTCTAGAGCCTGCTGTTTTCCTCGTGTTACCAGGCTGATTGTTGTTGGGTATAGCCACTGATGGACAGCAGTCATCTGTAAAATTGACTCGCTTCGGGAGCTGCTTCAGGAAATGGGCAAAAATAATACAGAACTAGGATTAATGAAATGATTTTCTGTCTTCCCGTTTCTTCTTCTCTGCCATTGTTCTTTGGGCACAGATGTTTGACAGGAAAGGCAAACTGCCAACAATTAACTTATTATTGTCACGCAGATACAGCGCATCTGTGACTCTGCCATCATTTTGTGCTCAGCACCTAGGTTGATGTGGCCTATCCCGCCCCTTTTCTCACAGCAGAGTTTTCATCAAGTTCACCTTCAAACGACAGCGTAATCTGTCGCCTAAAAATAGTCCCACTGTGACATATTTGGTGCTTGTATCTTGGCTCTTACTTTTCTTGGATCAGTTTATCTTGTGTTTATTAATTAATCTCCTGTAATGATCAGGGCTGCAAAATGAGGCAGGAAAGCGGAGAGGTAGACCACAGGGACCGACCTGTGTGGTGTTTGTTTAAGCCCAGAGCTGTCCCATTTTGATGCCATGGAAGTGATATGGATAGCAATAGGAACTAATAAAAGTGCCACATGAGCGCTACTTGGCTGAGTGTGCTTAGTGGCGTAGGGTGACAAGATAGGGACAGGAGGATGGGAAAAGGAAAGCAGGGTGGAGGCACGGAGGAGAGGGAGGGAGCGGCACCCTTGTCTGTTTTGCAGTCATCAGTTGCGCTATAACTATGGCAGCGTTGTCTTATGTTGGATTTTTCTGTGGCTGCTTTCCCTGGCCCTGGTGTGTCCCAGCAGAATCCCAGACAGCGAAGGACAGTTCCCGTCAAGATTTAATGACCCGTATGATTTCTCAGCGAGAAACGTGTCCTCAGAGGCAGCCCGACCTGTCTCCCCAGGCTCTCATCTCTTCCAGAACCCTGGGGGTGGGGGCCTCTCCCTTTCTCCACCATCACCACTGCCACTGGTGACAGAAGGCCAAGGAAGAGATTGTTAGAAATCGGCCATTAATGTGCCAGTCGCCTCCCCGGGTGTGTCACCAGTGTCCCCTCTGCCAATGTCCCCTCTGCCACTCCCAGGACCAGAGGAAGAGTAGAGAGGACGGGAGAAACAGCGATGGAGTAGATAAACTATCCTCAAGCTGCTTCTGAGAATAAGGGGTCTTCTAAACTGTTTTTTAACAGTGGATGTAAAATAAAAAGACTGGTTGGCCATTTTTGCTTGCAGAGAATATTCCCCATCTAGTGTAGCATTTATTATTCTGCCCAACATTAACATTCATTGCTTTTGTCTTAAAATTTCATGTTTAGTTTCTTTATTAGATTTGCAGTGCAATTAAGCCACTTCAAAAGATTAAGTGCCCAAACATTTTTTATACCACATGGAACAAGTGTGAATTGCATTTTTTTTTTGTCTTATGGGTGTCCTCAGCCAGTCCTGAGCATTGTGTTAATTGCTTTTTAATGGTGCTATTAAAGGGAGGTTGTCCCTCACACCCCAGCACACCTGTACAGATGATAACTATAGGTTGGCTGAGAAGGGATTGATCTCAACACAAAGTCATCATCATTGTTGATTAAATGACGGCAGTGAGCAAATTTGTTCTAAGTGCAATCAACCTGTCAAGGATTTTTTTAACCTCTGAGTTTTCTCCCACACAGTGCTCTGTTGATTGGGACTTGTGCTCTGAAGGGCCCACATGCAGTTTTAAGATTTTATTATTGTCTATGCTAAGCATCTTCACGATGTAATACTAAGCCACATAGACATAGGGTTGACTGATTCCAGTATAAGGTAGGATTCATATTTAACTTGGACAAAAAAAAGAGCCAGTGAAAATTATATGGACTCTGCACACTCACATGATCACACATTGCAGCAGCAGCGGCAGCAGCAGAAGAACTTGCCAGCACTAGTCCAGATTAGATAAGCAGGAAGTGCTGAATCTGTTCTCTATATGCCTCCTTTGGTACACTGAGGCTGTAAAAGTCAGTCCCCCAGTTTGTAGAAGTGCTGATAGAGGCATAATTGAACAACCATGCTGATTATTGATATCATGCAAACACGCCAGCTTCTAATTATACCAGGCTACATATTGCAGTGTGTGAGCAACAGAGAAGGGTAAGAGACTAAAAAATGTGCCTTTATTTATATAGGAAAAATCAGGGTGTCACTTCAAGTATGTAAAATGATCAGATACATTATGTAGATAAATTATTTTTAGTGTAACCTGTCTTTTATGTGCCCATCCCTCTTTTAAGGGAAGAGCCCCAACTACTTTCATCTTCACATTCACATGACACACATTGTGTTCATTTCTTCCTCCCTTAATGTTACTGATGGCACCAAAAATCTTGCAGATGCAACATTTACTGTAGTCCAACTAATTTCATGGTATTTTATGGTATATTTTTTTTATTAAAGCTGTGGTAATTTGCATTACAGTAGCAAGAGTTTGGTCAAAGCACAATCTGCAGGTTTGTCTGAAAAAAAAAAATTACCCCACATATGATGCAATGACCCAGTGTTCCTTTTTCTGTATTCCCCCCTTCTTTCATCAAACCCCAACCTAACCCTCTCGATTTCTCTTCCGACCACAGCCACTGTGCCAGAGAGCCCCAGTTCGTCTCAGTGTACGTGGGCAACAGTCTCATGCTGCTACACGTACAGTGGATGAAGACCGTCCTTGGACAGGCCAGGAGAGCCTGGCTCAGGACGACCCCGAGATGTGGGATCTGCTGCTGAAAGAGAAGGACAGGCAGTGCCGTGGCTTAGAACTAATTGCATCTGAGGTAAAACATCTTTCAAATCTACAATTGATTTTGTTCTTTTTTTAATCACTGTGTTTTTTTTTTGTTGTTTTGTTTTTTTTACTGTTTTTGCAGTCATTGTGCTTAATTTAACAATTTACAGTGGAGAGAGAGGAAGAGTGGGCTGCAAAAGAAATGGGGAATCCAGATTTATTAAGTCTGATTTCAGTCAGGCCATAGTGGCAGATACTTTGATTTAAAAAATGAAAGATTTTTTTCATTCAGTCAGCCTTTACCAGAATATATTGACCTATCTTAAAGCATTTTGTATTTATGGAGTCGGCTTATTTTTAAGGAAAGACAATTAATGTAAACACTAATTCCAATGGATGAATAAATAGACCTGCTAGCCTGATGGATATCTATTATTCTTGTATTATTTGCCATTTGCCTTTATCAGTGGTTTATTAGCATTCATACTGTAGATAAATACAGACACATGTACAGCACATCAAGTACAATGAAGGATATAGGTGTTGCAGTTAAGAATCATATGCTGAAAATATGAATTACTATTTTGGTCATATCTTTTCCTAAAACATCTGGCTATATGTTTCAGTGGTTTATAGCAGTAAATTCCCTTTTTTTTTTTTTTTTTTTTTAAGTAAAACTGTTTCTTTGTGGCTCAAACATACAAATCATAAAACAGATATAATTAACTTAGACAAAAGCAACACTGTGTAACTTTTGAGAAGCAGCGGCAACAGCGGCCTCTGCAGCCACAAGTGGCAATTACAGAACACTTTATACATTAAATTCTGTTGGGCTCTGAGTCCAAGTGGTTAAGGGTACTGGAAGCAGTGTACTCTTAGAAGCTATCAACTCATGTACAGAAACCCAAACCTAACCAAAATTGCTCAGGCAGCAAAAGCAAAATCATCATCTCAGTACAAACCAGCAGTCACGCTGTCCACTCATTTCAAGTCAGCATTCAGCTCATCTGAAAACATCTGAGCCCATAGCAGTTATGTGCTAAAATGTAGATGCTAGGCGCTATAGTCTCTTCACCTCTGCCATGATGTCTGTACTGAGAATATTGAGCTAGCTTAGATAGCTGAAGGCCCATAGTTGGTGGTGTGTATTGTAGTGCCGTAAAGTGTTACATATTTCTGGCAGGTTGTTGTACCCACTTAACCCAAGTTACATATAGAACTCATGTTCAGGGGGAGTGTAGATGAAAGGGGTGCAATTTTCCCTATTACAAATCAGTGTACCATCGAAATGATTTTGAAGCTGTTATTTTAAGGTAAAATAGTTGCTTTAAAAAAGAACAAGTTCAAATCAACCTCACTATTCATTCATTATTCAGCCACTGACCAACTGTGCACAGTGTGCTGTAAGTTATTTTTGGCTTGAATGACTTGCAGCACATTTGTGTAACTCTTTGTTTTCACTCCAAGGCTGGATGGTGTGAAATGCGAAATTTTACTATTCAAAAGAGCAGACAAGGTTTTATCTTGCATTGTTCTTTCTCTCTCCTCCTTTTTCTTCTTTGCCACAGTAGTTGTTCAGTGGAGTATATCAGCCCCCTCTCAGCACAAAGCCTGACCACTCTAGTGTGAGATAAAGCTGATATCTTCATTCTGCCTCCTCCCCACCTCACTCTGCAAGGCACATCACAGTACAGCTCAGGCAGGCAGACATACATTTTCCCACACGTACGCACACACACTCGCGAACATACACACTTCAAGACACTGAGAGGCAAATGCATTTCCTTTTCTAATATATGCACAGTCGTCAGCATGACAGACGGACGCGGCAGAAAGCTGTTACTGGAGCTGTTATCTCCCTTGATCTTCTCTTGGCTCCCAGGTGAAGCATTAGCATAACTACACACACAACACACACACACACAAACACCACCACTCCAACGAGGGAGAGAGTGGAGACTGTAGGTGTTTGTGTGTGCTATCTGTAAGACCCTATTACTGGCCAGTGTGATAATATACAGTACAGTGTTATGTCAGGAGGTCATACCAAAAGTGGCATCCATTGTCAGCTACGCAGTTGGGGCTGCACACATTTGTATATGTAACAGGTTGTTGTTTCAAGTTACACTTACACTGTATCAGGCTTTACAAACCCGCAGTCCCAAACACATTTCCCCCGATCCCAATCAGAATCTGTGATTATCTAATATGGTAATTTTTTTTAATCGTATTTTAATCTTTTTTCCCCGTAGAGTGCATGTGTATCTAAACATTAACACATTGCCAAGAGAAGGCTTACTTTAAAATCTGAATGAAAAACTGCAGTTTTAAGATAGCCTTTCCTTCCATTCTTTATTATGATATTCTGTACAATGTCCTATTATTGTTTGTATAAAATCTATGAAGAGAGGAGTGTCAGTGTGGCTGGAAGGTTTGGACACCAGCTGGACAACCTCTCTTCATCTCCAGGATAAATACCCATAAAAGCCTTTAAAATTTTCAACCAACAGAAACACTTAACTTCCCCAAAAAGAAAAAGATAAAACCTCAGAGGAAATTTAAAGAAAGGTATTGTTTTAATCAGGGGGATACCATCAAAGCTGTAGGTGGGAAAATGGCAAGTACTAGATGAACAGAAAGTTGTAAGGTATTAGTTGAAATAAGAGTTGTCTTCAAATTTCTTGTTTTTTCCAACCACCAGTCTAAAACCCAAAGGTGTTGAGGTTTACTTTCACATAAGGTGGACATAAACTGAAAATCATCACATTTGAAAAGCTAGTACAAGAGAATGTTTAGTACTTGTGCTAAAAGGGACTTTGTGACAAAGTGGTTTATCAAAATATATGTTACAATTGTCCTACTTATCGATTGATCAACTAATTGTTGTAGCTCTAGTGGAAATACAGAAATGTGATCAAGATTCAGTGGTCAGATTGTAATTGGTCCGTAATTGGTAATATAGCAGAGTAAATCCAGTAAAATAAATCAAAGGAACGAGCCTACTGAAATCAGCATAATAAAATGTGTTGGTGACTGAGTCCTATATCAGTTATTGGTATTGTTAATAAACAGAATTATTTTTTAACATCTCTTTTTCATCTTCCAGCACATGGGCAAGATATAAAACTTTTTGGGGATAATTTTACTCTTTTGCAAGAAAGCATACACACAGAAATTTGTTTTTCTTCAAAAACACATTACAAAATGATTAAAAAAAGGCCACACCAATCTATCTCAGCATGTGCAGAAAAGTTTATTACATTATCTTGTATCCTCCAGCAGCAAGGCGATAAGCATTGTGAAGTGCAGACTGTTAGTCTATGGAAGTCCAGAGGTTCAATACTGTAATGATTGCCTTTAGCTGGAGGGGGATTTCTCACTATCACTTAACAGACTTTAATTTGCCGTCCTTGTCCCTTCTGTCCACTCACGCCATTGATCTGAGTGTGTGTTTGCTCGTGTGTGTGTGTGTGTGTGTTCCCACCACAGAATTTCTGCAGTCGAGCAGCTCTGGAAGCTCAGGGCTCCTGTTTGAACAACAAATACTCTGAGGGCTACCCAGGGAGAAGGTGAGTGTTTATTCAGCCACACCCCAGCTTATTAATGTGGTTGATATTCTCTGCTTTAGGATATTTGTCACAAATGGGCACAAATGAACACACATAGACATACACTGATATATCCTGTGTTCTCTAGCTTGCCCTATTACTGTAAAGTACATGCCAACCACACAGCTAATAATCCACACGCTTTGCCTTGCCAAAGAAAATTCCTGAGGGGATACATTGGAAGAATTTGGTGCCAGGCTGATAGTTGCACGTTTTCTATTTTCAGTTTTCCTGTTTTCTATTATTTCCCTCAGATAATTCACATTTATCAGCAGCAAACAGAGAGCTGATATGTTTTTTAATGCCTCTCATTTGATGCATTTGATGCCTGAAATACAAGCCTACTATAAATCTCCCTCCCTGTGAATATGTTTAATTTTTATTTTCTTCCCACATCCTACTCAAGTGCCGTTTTACTCTTTAATGTAATGATCCAAAAAGGATTATCTCACAGAATGAGTGGCTTGCACAGTAGCCATCTGTTGCTCCTTCATCTGTAATTCTTCTGAAAAGCTTTGATGAGCTTTTCACCTAGATGTCCCAGATCTGATGTCGGTCTCAACATTTATCTTGACCCTAGATACACTGCCATTTCTATCAAATGTATGAAAGGTAACAGGCATTGTTGAGATTGACCTAAACTGAAATCCTATGGTTATTCTAGCAGGTAAATTGGAGGAGTGATGCATCTGTTAATAATGGCCTTGGGGTGTATTTTCATTCATAGGAGTTTTTGTTTCCATTCATTCTTTTTCTGAAACCCCCCTGACCCACACATCCACAGATACTACGGTGGAGCAGAAGTGGTTGACCAAATTGAGCTCCTGTGTCAGAAGCGAGCCTTGGAGGCTTTTGACCTTGACCCAGCTCTGTGGGGCGTCAATGTCCAGCCTTACTCTGGCTCACCTGCCAACTTTGCTGTTTACACCGCTGTGCTCAACCCCCACGACCGCATCATGGGCCTGGACCTGCCCGACGGAGGACAGTCAGTAGTCAATGCAGCTTATGTTTTATTCTTAATCATCGCCCTGTCACTTATTTTGTCTCCCCTCCCACTTTTCTGTGCTGCTCCAGTTTCTTTGTTGGTCAACGCAAGTGTATCACTTGGACCTGAAAAATTAATTTTAAAAAACGACATAATTTTTCTTTTCCTGCACATTTCTAAATCAGGGTGTTTGCAAAGTAATTTAACTGACTGTTTGTGCTTGCCTGTTTTTCTGTTCCTTTTTGTCAACGCAGTCTGACCCATGGCTACATGTCTGATGTAAAGAGGATCTCGGCAACCTCGATCTATTTTGAGTCCATGCCCTACAAACTAAATGTAAGTAGAGACCCCTACTGCTGATATCTACTACTAACAACTAACAAGAGGACACTCCAATACCAGCAATACACCATCAGGTTTCTTAGAAATGATGAAGAAAATTGACGGGAAAAGGACAACAGCAATAAAAGTATGTCATAGTGTTATGAAAGCTGTGCAGCAGATGCTGGTACCTAATAAATGTTATGTATACTCATACATTTTAGATTTTCCTCTAATGTCAGATGAGAGGTTTTCAGGGTCAGTTGTTCTCTGTGACCAGCAATTGTGTCACATTGTGTGAATGTTTGCACAATAATATATTGTACAGTATGCTGTGTAAGTGGTGTCTGATGCTGCAGGTGGAATTTTCCTAAGACTCTTTACTGTAATAGTGAATGGGAGAAAACTGTTAGATTGGATGAAGAACAGTGTGTAGCCACACTACCACAATATATATGTATGTGTGTGTATGTATATATACATTATGTTGGTCATAGATTACACAACAGTTTCAGCCAGCTTATTCAGTAGATATCAAATGTGAAGACCTTGAGCAAAATTGGTTATTTTTTATCAAATTGTGCAAGTTTTTGAAACCTACTGTAGCAGGCATTGAGTAAAATAACGAGTAAGAACTCTTCTTCAACAAGCACAAATATCTAAATTTAAAGGACAAATATTTTTGACCTTGTCCTTCATCCGCAATAACAAATTAATAACAGTATATTCATTGAAATGAACATAAAAAAAGATGAAAAAGTAACTGTGATCCCATAGTAGGAAATCCTGTTTCCATTCCTGCCCCCAGAGGGAGGACACAAAGCAGTGTAGGTAGGGATTCAGTGTCTAACTCAAGGAAACATCAGCCCATCAGATGCTTGCTTGCAGGTCCTTGACAACAGAAAGACTTAAAGTCAAGGGTTTTGGCTGATGTATGGCCTCTCTTCTCACAATGTAATCATACAGTCCCGTTAGTAAACCACGTAAAACAACTGAAGTGTTGCTTTCCACCTGCATGAAGATCGTTGCTTCCCGAGCCACTCAGATGTGACAAGTAATTTTTCAGGTTAACATGTAGATAAGATCGTCATTGTACACGAGTGTGTAGTATTTTATTTCTTGGGTCATAGTTGTGTGGTAGTGTGGGTAGCGGCTGATGGATGGCCATGAGATTCTGCATGTCCAGACCTGCTGATGTATGGGCTGGCAGGACCCCTCTGCGAGAGAGATAATGGGAAATCGACAGGCTGGCCAGCACCACTGGCTCTGTCTTCACAATGAGCAGCTTGATGGAGTGAGGGGCCATCCATAGATGTGCTCTGGAGATGGGAGATTATCAGGTTGTCTAAATAAAGCTTTGCCTCCTCCTTTTCTCTCTTCTTTTTCACGTCGGCGTCTTCCTTATTATCCATCCCTTTTGTCTCTCACTTTGTTTTTCTGCTCCATCTTGCTTTTTCCCTTTCCTGCATTGTGTCTGTTTTCTGATGCTTGGAGGAGGAAGGGTTATACAACTTGAAATTCAGGCACAGGGACGGACTGGTCATTTGACTGGTCCAGCTTGACTCCATTTCATGCGACTCTGAAGTGCATTCACTGAACAATGGATTGGCTAACATGTCTCTCAAATTGCTCAGTTCAATGGAAAGAGCAGGAAAAGTCTCCAAACCAACCTCTAATCTGTCCGGCCTCATCACACCAGTCAAGTAGATCCCCTGAAAGGTTGAATTAGGATAAGTAGGGGTGCAATTGCAATTACTGCAATTGCTCCATATTCCTCCATGATATGATAGGTTGCAATGTCTCCTTTAGATAAATTCCGTCCCCTTTTAAGGTAGCCAAAGTACTTCAAATGCTGCTACTTCAAATGAGTTTCAAATGGAAAAAATCTCTCTTCCGTACTGATATGTTTTCTCTTGATCCTCAAGATATGACAATTTTTTTTTTCATCCTCTCGTGTTCCTTTTTTTTCCTCCTGACCCTTACTCTCCCTCTAATATTCTCATATTCCTTCTCCATTTCCTCTTTATTCATTCCTCTCGCTCTGCCTCTTTTCTCTCTCCTCAATCTGTCTCCCTCTCTGCAGACTGCAACAGGACTCATAGACTACGACCAGATGGAGATGACGGCCAAGCTGTTCCGGCCCAAGCTCATCATTGCTGGCACCAGCGCCTATGCCCGCCTCATTGACTACGGCCGCGTCAAGAAGGTGCATGGAGAACTCTGTATATTCAATTCTATCTGCAGCCTGTCTTCTCTACTTCTCATCGTACATTAGGAAGGACAGACCAGCTTTGTTCTCTTATTCAAAACTCAGTCAACCTTTTCCATTTCAAATGTCACCTGCTTCCCATAGTCAGACCTGGCCAGGATTACTTCCAAACATATCTCTTCTAATTTCTGTCCCTGAGTAGTGATGTCTGTCTAAATACCTAGCATTCAACTTCAACATTTCCAAAAACACGAGCCAATTTTTATAGGGTCTTTCACCCTCACACACGACAACACAGATGCTGTCTTCCTCTCTTGCCTACTCAACCAAACGAAACATGGACACTCGCTCTGACTCACACATACACAGCACCAACTTTTAACCGCACACTTCACTGCTCTCTTTGACAGTGCACAAGAGGCCTCTTTATCTGTTTTGTTATACCCACCCGCTGACTCACTTCATTCACTCCATGACTGCTTCCCTTTGTTGCAGAGCCCCACTTTAGCTAGTACCATCAGATGGAGTGTCCCACCATTACAGAGCTGTGTTTTTATTAAGCACCATAACGACTTTGCCACTAGGCCTGAAGTGGGGCCATATTTTCCCCCTGGCATGTCTCTGTGGAACTGTTCACTGTTTTATGGCAGAATCTGCTGGGCCGGGCTTCACTCCAGATTTTCAATGTTGTGTTACCTAGATTGAAGCAGGCTTCTTTTTCTTCCCCCACGTCAGAAACTTGATTTACTATCGGTATTGATTGGCTACTGCACGTCACCCTCTTGTGTTCTTTACCCCCTCCAGTAACCCTGCCATCTCCCCTGCGTTTTAATCTAATAAACATGTGCTGATCCAGTTTAGATAGAGGAAGGGAGATTGTCATGATAATGCATATTAATTGGAGCACTAAAAAGATTGTTTACCGCTCTGATCATTCGCCAGCGAGTCATTTGCATGTTAGCAAGCTATTTATTGTTTGCACCTTTTTCAATAGATGCTGGCAAGACGCATCAAGGATTTATTGAATTATGCTGTAATATTTCTGGCCTCTGAAGACTGCAGAGGAATAATTACACAAGCTCACATTTGAAATATCTGCCTTTTGAGAAGATAGGTACTGCTAACAGATGTAGAGTTAGTTATCAACTTAACTGTAGAGGGGTTGTAAATGTATTACTCACATTTGAACATATACTTAGCACAGTCACATGAAAAGCAAAGTAGGGTCACTGATGACACAGATTGAGGCAAGTTCAATCACATAGTTTAGATTTATTTGTAACTGTAGTAGTTTGTGGTAGAAATCTGTATATCAAAACACTGCTTATGCAAATACAGTGCAGTTCATAAATATTTGCAGTGACACATTTCCACTCTATTCCAGGACATTATGTTTGAAATTAGATAGTGACAAAGGCTAAAGTGCTGACTTTCAGCTGGGCGGTTCATTGTGTTCATATCTATATTGGATTAACAGTGTAGGACTTGTCTCTTTTTGTACATAGTCTCCCACTTTAAAAAATACTGAGTAAACTGAAAAGGTAATTGAAGAGGTTTTCATGGCCAAACAGTGGAATGTTCTTGGCTTGCCAAGTCAGTCACCTGGCTTCAGTCCAACTGAGCTTATGTCTCACTTGCTGAAGATCAAACTTAAGGCAGAAAATCTCCTGAAGCAAGCTGGAAGTGAAGAGGGCTGAAATGTTCTGGTAGAGGTTGTAGACTTCAGGCAGGTCATGACTGCAAAGGATTTGTAACCAAATATAAAGAATAACTTCACCGAACTTTTATTGATGCAGACATCTTCAAATTAATCTCAGACAGCACTTTAACCTTACAATCATAGAGTCCAGCTTACAAAAAAAATGTCTCACCGCTGCAGTTCACAGATATCGCAGAGTAATGTCATAATTTTGGGTCTCGTACTGAAAAGTTATTTAAAATTTCCTCCCATAAGGTATAAATTTGAATCCTAATTTTGTGTTTGCTTCCTTTGTCTCTCAGCTGTGCACTGACATTAAGGCCTACATGCTCGCTGACATGGCCCATATCAGTGGCCTGGTGGCAGCCCAAGCCATCCCCTCTCCCTTTGAACACGCTGACCTGGTCACCTCTACCACGCACAAATCGCTCCGAGGAGCCAGGTAAGAAGGACAGACCCGGCAGGGACAAATTACATTACCAGGGATGAAACCTTGTTTGGGTTTCAAGAAAAATAAAATGGTAAAAATGCTGTGTCAGTAAATTATTGTATTTTGTCCAGGGCTGGCCTCATCTTCTACCGTAAGGGTGTTCGCTCAGTGGACAAGAAGGGGAAGGAGATCATGTACGACCTCGAAGACAAGGTCAACTTCTCTGTCTTCCCCTCTCTGCAGGGTGGACCTCATAACCATGCCATCGCTGGTGTGGCTGTAGCACTCAGACAGGTCAGCACAACACGCTAATACCCAATTTCAATGTAAAAGTAATTCAGTTTATTCATATTGACGTAACACTTATTACCCTGGTTATTTTCTAATAAGAACCTGACAAGTGGTGAATCAAATTTTACAGTGGAACAAAATCTTACCAAGGAGATGCTTTGGCACAACTTGACCCAGTGTGAACCGTGTGGATCTTAATGCTGTGCTAGACGGCTACTGAAATGTAATCTGTTCAAGAGGATGGAACTGCGATGTGTTTCACTTTTACCAACTTACGTAGCTTTTAATCACTATAATGGGGCTGTGCCTACTGTACTTCTAACCAATGGTCAATCATTTTTTCAGGTTATTTGATCAGTTATCAAAGGAAATTATTCAACATTTCTTTCCTAAGATGCAAATGAAATAGACTTTTGAATTTAAAGAAATACCATGATGTTTATATTGTAGTAAATTGTTTTCTTGATATCTCTTGGCTCATTTCTTGACAAAAAAGCTAACTCTAACATCAATGCTTGTATCCAGCTCAGCACTCTATCATTTGTGTGTCACCAGGCACAGTCTCCCATGTTCAAGGAGTATATCAACCAGGTACTAAAGAATGCCAGGGCTATGGCTGCAGCTCTTCTCAGTAAAGGCTACACCTTGGTATCAGGTATATTAACTTGTATTCAAGCTTTCTTTTTTTTAAGTCACTAGTATAAACAGCGGAGAAACATACGTCAATAAAGAGAAATGTCCTGTCACAAAATGCAAATTACATGGCAGGAAAAAAAAGAGAAAAAAAAGAGAAATGCATTTAAATTCATGATGTGCAAATTGGGTAATGTCAGTGTAACTGCCTCGTCAGTCAAGAAAATGAAACCAGATGAAAATGGTCACTTTCTGGTTGTGAGTGAATACTTGAATCTTGTTCTGCATTTAATACGCTGGCCTAAGCTTTTTTTTTTTTTTTTTTTAATGTATGTAGTATTCACTTGATACTCTAAAAAAGATAGACTTGTCCTTTGCTTACACTGCATTGTGCGCATACTCCCTGTTTTTTAATCCTTTTGTAGATTTCTCTGAAAAGAAAACAGGAAAAGAGTGTTTTCTAATGTTACAGTCAAATAAAACACTTGTAAAAATATGTGTGCTAAAGGAAGACTTAAGCATTTTCAGCCATCTAAATTTATAGACTAAAATTAATGCAGTCTAATACAACACTCCTGCAATAAATGCTAACGTCATGAAGGTTGTAATGTTTAGTTTTTATTGAAACTGTTTCAGAGAGGTGTTAATTCAACTGTGTGATAATTTTGGAGTATATAGTTTGTGATATTGTTGAACTGCACTGCATTATGCAGAGATGTGTTTCTGTTATTTAGCCTTCCCTCACTGATGTAAAAAGGGTGGACAAAATGATAGAAACACCTGTATAATGCAATACAGTACAACAGACCATGAACTGCAGGAATGTTGCATTTGACTGTTAGTTTTAGCTAAAAATGGACAAATGTATGAGAAAGGTGAAGATGTGAAGCATTTGAGGCCCTGACAATACATATCATATTCATTTCATATCAGAAAGTTATCAAATCTAGAAACATTACCTCAGCCATGTTGAACTAAAGCTGAGATTGTCTGATCAAAGATTTAAAAGTGAAGTTGGTGTCCACGAAGCCTCGGACTTTCCTGCTCTTCAAAAGTTTTTACTAGGAATGCTGAATATTTCAGGTGGAACCGACAACCACCTGGTCCTGGTGGACCTGCGGCCTAAGGGCATTGATGGAGCTCGAGCTGAAAGGGTGCTGGAGCTTGTGTCAATCACTGCCAATAAGAACACCTGCCCTGGGGACAAGAGCGCCCTGACTCCAGGTGGCCTCAGGCTAGGTAAGGACCAGCTTCATATTATACTACATTTTGCTTGACTTCCTGTCATACTTATTAAGGGTATGATCAGAAACCACATAAAAAACTGGAAAATTGTGTGGATTTGTATATTTAACCACTTTTAAATCTTAAAAAAAACAAAAACTAACAGATATTTACACTCTGTTGGGGTAATTAGTCTTAGTATGTTGGTCAGTTGCTCAGCATTTTGTGTTCTAAGTACAAGGTGAAGGTTTTTTTTTTTTTTGTTAAATTTACTTTGCAGTTAACATCCTCTTCACTTGATCAGTTTTACTTAGTTTTTCAAAATGTAGTTCTGCATATGGAAATTAGTCAGCCACCAATTAAGCCACAAGCACTGAGCAAATCATGATTAATTAAGCATGTTTGGCTTTTTAATCATCTTCCAGGAAGTTCAAGAGCTCCACATCTACACTGCCACGTTTTTAGCTTTATCTTAAGGCGAGATATTTTACCTACAGTACAATGCTCTGCGAGATATTTTACCTACAGTACAATGCTCTGCGCTTATTACGTTCTCATTTGGACTGCACCTTTGTGACCCATCGGTTATCAGCATCTGTGTAGGTTTGACACATCTGGAGTCTGTGTAGATTCATTACTTAAATTTCAAGACGCTCCAGGGTTGGGCTTTTTTCCAAAGACCATATGGTTCCTTAGTAGAAAAAAAAAAGCAAGAAAATGAATAACAATCAGATGAAATGTAAAAGTAAAAGGAAGAAATTGCAGATCTTTACTTTACTTTTATTTCAAGCTGTGGGATTTGTGTTCTTCTGTGTCCCAGGTGCTCCAGCCCTGACCTCCAGACAGTTCAAAGAAGCAGACTTTGTGCAAGTTGTTGAGTTCATGGATGAGGGCTTCAAGATTGCCTTGGATGTCAAGAAAAAGACAGGTAAGCCTTATGTGAGAGGGGATACGGATTAAAATGTAGCCAGGTGGTTGGCAAGAACATGCGTCCCAATTTTTTGGTCTTTTTGTTCAGTTTTAAACTATGTATTTATTAGAAAGGTACAATATGTTGTATGTTAAAATGTTGGATATGGAAAAATAAGAAGTGAAAAGGCCCTGTGGTGATCAAACATACAAAGCTAAAAATGGAGAACTGAGCATTCTTCCTCTCTTTTCCATTGTCTTCTCCAGCAAAGCTCCAGGACTTCAAGAACTTCCTTCTTCAGGACCCAGAGACTGTTGCTCGCATCGCTGAACTTCGGCACAGAGTTGAAGCTTATGCCAGGCCCTTTCCTATGCCAGGCTTCCATGATCATTAAGCCAGTCAGTATGGAGTCAGGGGGCTGAAAGCCAGGTGGTAGAAAGCCGGCTAGCAGAAGTGTGTAAGGAGAGGGAAAAAATCTCATGTGGTTGGTGCCTGTACATTGGGATATATCTTGAGTTCCCTTTTTTCCAATCAGATCTGGGAAACTACATTTTTTCTACTTCTTTGCAATCATCAGTCAATATATTCTTGTAAAAACAGGCCTCCATATTGAGGTAAAGAAACAATGAAATATGATACAGTTTTTCTTTAGAGCCGAAGATCTTATTTTCTATCGTATGTGTAAAGATATACCATTTCTTTAATGTGGGTGTGTGGGAGGAAGAAATAACTCGTCAAATGTAACACCACCAACTGTCATTGGTGTCACAGACTGTGTGATTTGATTGATGTATAATTAGTTATTATAATAAGTTACGCTGAAGAGTCTTAATGCTGTAAAGAGTCTTAACTAAAGTCACTAATGGAGATTATTATATTCACATGAAGATGTGTGCATGATAGTTTTTCTACTTACATTCTCTGTTTATGAAACCAGGTACACAAGGAAACTTCATGATGTGAAGGGTTGTTCTGACAGTGTTGTGGGGGGAATTTTGTTGAACATCAGAAATTCACTCAAAATGTAATTTCTGAAAGTTAACCTCTTTAACTTTGTATAGATTTGTGGAGCTTATCTCCAAAGGGTAAGGGTCCAAGTCTGATTATACAAGTAATCTCAACATCTTTTGATATACTATAGTCTAATATAGCAACACTATAAACTGTGGTCACATAAATTGTTTAAAAACACATTTCACACCGTGTATAAACAAGAACCAAATATCTTCAGCTTCATTCAATATAATATGCCTAACCCATGTGAAAATCTAGCTATGTTGTCTTTTGACACTATTGTGATTGCATCATCCTTTTTTCTTCCAGTATATCATAGATGTCTGATTTTAATTGCTCTGTATTTTGTTATGACAGATGAATAACCAACTGGATTGATATCAGAAATATCAGCTTGGATGATTTCATACTTCACTTTATGTGTGTTTACAAAGAGTATATACTTTTCTATATATTATTTAAAAAGAGTTAACTATGTAACTGCCATCATTTTACATGTTAAGGTGTCCAATACTAGTATCAATATAATATATTGCTCTGGAAGAAAGATGATTTGAATTGCAGTCTGTCTGATTTAAGTGTCATTTATTTCACCCAAGTGTTCAGTGATGGAAACTGTGAAGCAGCTAGATTTGATAAAACATTTTCACTGCATTTTGTTGTGTACCTGGTTCACCAATTGGTACTGTTGTCATTATCACTGCATCAGTGAGGAAGATTTCTGTTTGTGAAATGGTCTTGCAGCACAATGGAGAAAAAGGATGTTAGAAATGGTGTGATACTTTATTACTTTGCACAGAACATTGCTTCTAAAGTAAGTTTTTTGACAGCCAATAAAGTAGACTTTGCTAAAATAAACCATTAAGTATTTTACCAGTGTTCATAAATCCACTGTCTGTCTGTTTTCATCTCTGATATGTTGCCAGCTATTGTACATCAAGTTTGAACTAACTGTCTTTTACATAACATTTTTATTTTACTAGCTGAATCCTAATAAAATCCATTAATTTATGTTGTGTAAGTGATATCATTAATACATCACCTCTCACATACTGTCTTAACCAGCAAAGTTTTAAAAAACAAAGTCAGTCAGAAGATCTCATTCTGTCAAAATGGTTATCTGGACTGTGGGGACACGTTTGTTATATTTTTTGAAATTGTGAGTAGTAACAAATCATTTAACTAGATATGTACAATATTGATAAGGATTACCTTTGCTTTCAATGGATTTAGTAGTGGGGTTCTAGTTCATCTGTCAGGGTTTGGAAAACAAAATGTGTCCTACTGGCAAGTGAAGGAACAAGTAGTTAAAATAAAGCCAATAAAGGATTTAGAAATCATTATCCAAATTAAGTCATATTTTCTTTACAGGGTCCAGTGCTTGCATCAATTGTCCTTGCAGGTCCGTATAAAAACACAATGAGCCCTGCAAGCTAGTTCAGAGCTAGTTCTTGTTGGCGCTGCATTCACACGTGACTTACTCCTATAGCTGCAACCCAAATCCAACGCACCCTTTCTGATCTGGGCGGGATATTTAAACCCCCTGCTCACTACTTGCCTCTGTTTGACTGCTGCCTCACAGTATCTGTTAGGTTACTGCTGCAGCACTTCTTCATATACTACCACCGCCAACACTTGCACATGCAGCATTTCATAAACAGGCTAACCTACCAACAGTCAGATAATACAGTATAATGTATAATGGTGACGGCCTCGTGAGCGCATACATAGCGTTGCTAGCTGCTGCTGCTAATCAGTGACTCTGCTCAATTACTTTTAGATGGATAATAGGATTCAGCTGCCGCTTACAGTGTCCTTGCACTGGACAATTTAAGACGAATGCGACTCTTTCTAAAGTAATTACTGTCTGCTAAAATGTCAGAGATCATTGCTTCAACTTGGTAAGCGATTGCTACCTGTGCTAACACACCTATCACGATCATGTCTTGGCTCTGTCCATTTAGTTTGGTGTGCTTGGTTTCATCTGCTGTCTACCTTTCTGGCTGCTTTATTGCTGATAGATCTGCTGTCAGTGATGTTTGCTGGTTGTATGTTGCTGCTAGCTGCTGCTAACCGCTGCTAACCAGTGGCTCTGTTCAATTACTTTCAGATGGATAATGGGATTCAGCTGTCGCTCAAAAGAGTTGCACTGGACAACTTAAGACGGATGCGACTCCTTCTAACGGATTCACTGTCTGCTAAGATGTCAGAGATCACTGCTTCAACAGGGTAAGTGATTGCTACCTGTGCTTACATACCTGTCATGGTCATGTCTTGGCTCTGTCCATTTTGTCTTTGTATGCTTGGTTTCATCTGCCGTCTACCTTTCTGGCTGTTTTATTCCTGAGAGTGATCTGCTGTCAGTGATGTTTGCTGGTTGTATGTTTGATCTGCAGCTGACAAATGCATGTGCAGTATTTGCCTTTGTGTTCATTTCGACATACTCTCTGGGTGAAGTAGAGGTTGTTTCCTTTGTTGGTTGGTACCTAGTTTAATGTTGCAGTACAGAGTGTTAATAGGCTGAATTGTGGCATAATTCCCCATGGTGCTGCTGCTGTTGCACTTATTTTGTTGAGTTTCATTGTGTGGGCTTACTGTAAACCATATGTCAAGTAATATAGACCTTAGCCTTTCAAACATGACTTTTTCTTGCAAACAGACCATGCATGTACTCTGCAATATTGGCTTCATGGGGCATCTCTTGAGAAATATTTCAACTGAAAGCATTGTGTTTTATGCGATCGCTTGCTTTGGTGTTGTCTTCTTTATGTCATACTTGAATCTAACGCTTATTTCGCTGTGGTCTATGTTGCTGCTGCAGACACATTCATCCTGAACCTTAACTACTGCTGTTTTTCTGCTGCTCATCAATGCCACATAACATTTCATAAGAGGGTTGCTCCAATTTTTTTTTTTTTTTCAATTTAACATGCATAAATAAATGATTATCTGTTGCAATGTTTTGCCATGCTGCTGAAATATCAGGTGTATTGCTGTTTAAATGTATCCAACTCAATTCACTAAATACTAGACAAGTAGTATATAATGAAGGTGCTGTATTGAGGAATGGCCACATGGCAGTAGTCATAGATTTAAGTTTATTAGTGGCATGCCTGGACATTTACATCTCTGTCAACCCTGCATGCTTGCAGTCAGAGCCTACATGCTAAACATCAAATCTGTACTTACCCTTTGTTGGAGCCATTTCAGTTGTATGAATATATTTGTGTGAAATTTGTGTGCATTAACACCTTTGAGCACTAGGTGGAGCATTCATCTATGTATCGCCAGGGCATAGCTAAAGAGACTTATTTTAAGAGACTAATGGTAACTGGGTTTAGATGTTTCCCTCTGTGGAATTATGCAGTCTGTTATATATGCCATATTTTGGTGGTGTTTAAAATGAAAGTGGATCAACGGCCTATGCAGCAATAATGTTTGGTGAGCTGAAAATAATTTGGAGATACTGTTAAGGGCTGCAGCTAATGATTATTTTCATTACTGATTAAGCTGCCAATTATTTTCTTGATTAATTATTTTGTTAATAAAATGTAATCATGAATTTGAGCAGTTGCTTAACTTTCTGTCAGTCCACTAATTGATTAATTGACTAAACGTTGCAGCTCTATTGTTTACTGGAAAAGCCGGACCTTTTTATTGTAAGCTCGCATCAGTGCCTATAGTTCAGTAGAAGCCCCTCAGTGGTCATTTTAAGTAAAGCAAATTATCCCTACACTCTGTCACTATACTGGGCTTCAGATGATGCATGTAATGGTGTAAAAAAGGACAGATTAATCTTGAAGTTGCTGTCCTGCAGTAAATATAGATCTGACAGGCTCAGGGTGATGAAGTCTGTGTGGATATGCACCCCAAAGCCCCTTCTGCCACTGGGTGATTGTGCAGCATTATTGAATTATTCCCACTGTGAATTTGTTGTCACTGAACACTATGCAAAAGTTTAATTGAATTTCATATCCGGCTGGGCACAACACTCAAGCAGAAGACAATGACGCTTCCTTGAATAACGCTGATAATGGAAACTGCTTTGAGAAGCTACATATGTGAATGAACATGTGAGCAACGTTCATGAGCAGCGCAGTTGGAGATGCATCAGAATGTGGAATTTTAAGGATCCCTTGCTAGTTTTTTTTGCCGGTCATTTATATAATGGAGCTTTCTCTTTACCCTGTGGCGGTGTTAACACAATTTTGTTTCCATTCCTCAGAAGCAACACAGATGAACGATATCTTTTAGTAGCAGAACGGATTGTAAAATCACTCTGTAGAATGAATGGGTCCATAAGCAAGAAAAAGTGCAATGAAAAAGTACTCTTCAGTTATAATTGTCATAATTGTACACAGTATTACCCATCTGGTACATTTCCTCATAATGCTGGTCATATATCAAAGCCTTAAAACTCCCCTCTGATCTGCCCTGTGCTGTAGCAGACACACACACACACACACACACACACACACACACACACACACACACACACACACACACACACACACACACACACACACACACACACACACACACACACTGTTTCAAATGAAAAAGATGATAAAATTCAGTTCCCTTGGTAGCTGATCTGACAATAAATCATGTCTATTTAATGAGGAGAGGGATAAATGACAATGTCAGCAATTAATTAGAAATGTATCTTCAGTCTGTCTTATCTGTGTGTGCGTGTGTATATCAGTGTGTGTGTGTGTGCGTGCATTCTTGAGTGTGTTGTGTGTGTGTGTGGATACAGTGTGCATGCATGTACCTCTGTCACTTCAATACCTGACATAATTAAACCTGGCAGAAGTTGATATGATAGTAAAAACATCTAAATATAGACAGGAGGAACTGTCTGTCTGGATGTAATGATGTACCAAGTCATATTGAGACATCCAAGCCACACTAATGCGCTGTAATTACCCCATAATGAAACATGAGTGTTCCTCAGTCTAAGAGACATCACTTCAGTGTGTATGGCTGTTGTCTGTCTGTACAATAATCCTAACCCCACTCCTAATCCTTTCATACTACTGCACCTGCTGCCACTTCTACTGCTAATAACAATAATAAAATGTAACACTATCTACTGTAAGGTTGGCCAAACCTGCACAGTGAGGCATACCAAAAATAAAGCAATGATTCAAATGAAACACAAATTCTGAGGGTGCACGAAAACGTTAACATTTACATATTAACGTCCATGCACACCTGCATGTGTGTCACCTTGTCTGGCTGTTTGGTTTTGAGAGTGGTGAAGCTGTGATGCTGTTACTCCATTAGGTAATAAGAAAGATAATGGTGTAATATCTCATGTCCTACCAGGTGCAACAAATCTAACATTATCTAACATAAACAAATTAGGGAGATGTCAATCAGAAGAACAGAACTGTCTGCACACGCCCACACAGTCCAAGAGATATAATTAGCCCAAATTAAAATCACCTGTGTTGGTTGTGGTTCTGTGTGTGCAGTAGTTAAAGTGAGCCTTTGTAACTACTGTATATCTTCCAGTGGCCACTGTGGCCACAATAGTGGTTTTTGCTTAAATATCGAATTAGCCTCCATAAGCTAGTGGTCATACCGGACCAAGTAAGGCTGTAGCAGCAAAACCTGTGAACGTACTGAAGTGAGAAAGGGTGTGCTTTATTAAATCAACGTTTTATTTAGAACAGGAAGAATGTTTTATTTCTTCTTTGAATAGATTTGAGTGTTCCAAGCAAAAATGTAAACTTTATTTATACCATTGATAAATTACATTCATAAGTGAATCCAAACTTCATCGTAAGAGCAGCTAGATGTCATCAAAAAAAGGAAGTGCATACCTGCTAAACAACTGAAAGCAATACCATCGTGTTTTCAACAGGCCTTTCTCACAGAAGACATTTTGACATGTCACGGTATGAAAAGCAAATGAATGATGGCTGCATCCCATTTAGCTGTTTCAGTTTCAGGTCACACTGTTGGGGCTTTGTGCAACACTTGAATAGAACAGGGCCCTTAAT